TAGCTCCAGGCCTTATCATTCTGAAGCAGAGTAAAGCTGACAGAAGCACTCTTGCAGCTTTTGCCAGAAATTTGAATAGAAACAATGAAACTAAGAGGAGTATGGGCAGTTTCCCTCTGTTGACATTTGCCAAAAGCTTTATGTGGGAGCACAGACAAGGAAAATGTGCCTGTAAAGTCAAGAAAAATCACACGGAAGGGTTTACATACAGTTGGGAAGCTAACTAAAATACAAAAAAATCTTCAGAGAATGTGATGTTACAAACTGAATTGCTCTCAACTGTTTCTTTTTCAGGGAAAGTTTCTGGTATGCCAATTTACAAAGATTAAGTCCTGGTTTGGGCAGGTAAAGCTGTGAACTGGAGTAGTAGTAATATGATATAGCACATACATGGCAGCACAGGGCAAATGAAGCTAACCAGAGAGCCTGTTCTGAAAAAATCAGTCAACCTAAAGAACAAGAATCAACAGCGAAAAGAACAAATCTAGGATTGACTACATAGCATGAATATGTGGAATGAATCGTTCTTCAGGATTATTTTTTTTTTCTAGTGGCTGAAAGGGAGAGAATACAAAGAGATGTACCAGAAACGGACAAGGGAGCTCCTGAAGAAAAAGGAAAGGCAAAAAAAAAAACAAACAAACAACAAAACAAACAGGGAGAAGGGGGAACATAAGAAAAAATAACAGAACAGGCTCAGAAGCAATTTGAATCAGATCAGGAAGATTTGAAGATAGTGGAAGAACTTGCCTGAGGAAGCAGAAATTCAGAACAAGGAGAGAAGTCAGATGTGTTCTGAATAGCTCACTGGGGATGAAGCAAGGAGCCGAGTACTCAGAAGCAAAAGGCAGTGGCTCCAGAAATCTACACACAAGACCAAGGCAAAAATCAAGGACTGGTCAAATTCCCCATCTCAGTAACAGGGCTCAAATCATACAAAAGCTCAGCTGAATGAATGAATGAATGAATGTGATAGTGAGGTGCCTCGTGACAGGTACAGAGAGCCAACCTCTGAACATGTTACATGCAAGTCTGTTATGAAGTACACAAATTACACGAGTGACAGAAAAACAAGTGGGGTTAAAGCAAAATTCAAGGTGTTGTTGCCCCTTCTAGAAAACTGATATTGGCACTTTCAATCCATTCTTCCCAATTTGGTATCAGCACACAGAGTAAGACTCTGATACTCAGGATACTCCTACTACAGTGCACCTTCAGGAGCAGTAGGGCAGCCATACCCAAAGTCATTCATTTGGTCCAAGCCAGGACCAAACTGTGGGAGGGCAGAGCACAGATACATTTCTAGCTGATACCATTCCCAATAAGACTCTAGTAAGTACAACCACAATTAAAAACATCCCAACAGCATCATATTTCCAATTCCTGCTACCCACTTACCTTCTATACTTTAATTCCATTATTAATCACGTCTTACCTAACCGAACGTTATGCTAAGGACACTTATATCTGGATGTATGGAAGAGACCAACTGTAATTACATTCACTGTTAACATCAAGACTGCTCTTTGTGGTAACAGAAGCGAAAGAAAACACGACTGCATAAAAGTTGCATTACAAAGGTAGAAGAGAAGAGAAAAGTTACTTTATTTAGCCTGTATCTTCTTTCTAATGTTAAATTTATTTGCTACCCTGCTGGATATCCTGATACAGTTTAGTATTTAGAATACATAAGGAAATCCATGGCTTGGTATCAGCCACTGTAATGCACTTCAGGATCTTGTTCCTCTCACTCCTTCACTTCAGCCCCACGCTCCCTACTCCAGTCTCCAGTCACACAGTTTCTTTCAAACTGACCTTGAATTTGACAGGCAACTCCAACACTGCACTAGATTTACAAATATGATTAGGGTATGAGAACAGGATACATTACAGATCTTCCTCAACCAGACCCACTTAATCATGCTACAGAACACGCATTCATGAAAAACATTTCCATTTTCCATGTGGCATTCAACAAATTAATCAACCCAAGCCTGTACGTATTGAGGAAAGAAGACAGCTCCCTCTACTGGGTGAGACAATGCAGCTCCTTGGATCCCCCCTCCCAGCCTCCACAGAGCATACTTGCACATATTCAAACCTCTGAGATATTTTTTTTTAAACCAATCCACACGATAGCATCTAACTGCTTAGACTGCTCTAAAATTTCAGGAACTGCCCTACAGAAATCTTTGTAGTTTCTACACTTAAAAGCATAAAGAAGAAAAATCTTCCCCAAAGTCTGTGGAAGATGCAGATGAAAGTCGTGCCAGCGACTTATGTTAGTGTCCATTGTCAGCCCAGGTCAGGAAGCAGCCAGTTCGGCTCTGTTACTCACAGCACGCGTTTAACACTTGACTTTTCTTACTGTAACTCAATTAATCTTTTTCTTGTACATCTCTGCCTCAAGAGAGGGCCCTTACCTTGTTTAAGGGAATGGCTGCAGCTTTCTACCTGCGTGAGGCTTCATCACAATAGCAGCTGCAGGTGATTGCTAGCATGTATGCAGAACAAAGCGATGAAATATCAGAGCACAGGTCAGACTGCAGTCGGTGACACAAAGGAAAAGGCAATGATCAGTTTTTCAAGCGTTCGTAACAGGATCTTCTAGGAAGACTACAATCTTTTTCCTTTCTCAGTCAACCCTCCTGAAATACGAGGCTCAAAGTAACACTTCAGTCATGTAGCATTAGCTTTTTTCTTTCGGTAGATCTCAACACATTCAAAGTGGGTGAGAACTGTCAGCTCAGTGCAGGAGGCCAGTCTGCAGCAATTCCTGACGAGCCTGCTGTCAGGACAATAGGTAGAACAGAAATCTGAAACATCATGAATCAGAAGTTCTTCCTACATGTTTTTAATTGCAATTAGCTGTGTGAAACAAGTCCAATCTTCCCTACACAAAAATACTCTCTTCTGCAGGACTCTAGGTTATTTACCTTCTTATACGGGAAAGGCCTGGAAAGATAGATGCAACTTTCAAGTCATCACTGCAGGACTCTACAGTAATGCCCAACCCTAGCTGCGTAAGGCCAACTGGTTACATCTCAATTTCACTAAGAGCAGAATTTACCCAAGTGAAAGCTATAAATGTTATTAATTTTTATTACCAGTTCTCCAAGTACAGACAGAACATTAACCAAACTTATTCTGCATTGCTTACATCATTTGGCATAGAAGGCTAAAAATGCTCGAAGTTTCTGAGTTCCAGGAAAGCAGAAGAAAAGACAGAAGATGGCCAGAGATTCTCATACAAGTTCCCAACATCAAGGCACAGGGAAGCTACAAAACCCAGCATAGGTACAGCACTGCACATCCCAGTAAAGTACATAGGTAATATGACTTGGGAAAATATTCGCTTCTGCATGTCCTCAGTAACTTCTTACAGGGAAAAAAAAAACAACAACCAACCTACAAAAATCTCTGCTGTCCCATCTTTTAAAATTATTTTTGATGTTGTTGTTTTGTGTTTTCTTTTTTTTCTTCAAAATTATTTCAGAAATTATACTCACAAATAGAGTAAAACAGATCTGAAGCAAGACCTCTATCTGAGGGCCTGTACCCTACAGGTAACCTATACAAACCAGACCTTAGCTAAAGCTGAGAGACAGATTGATGCTGTGGTAACTGAAGAGCACTACAAACCCGAGGTACAGACAGAGCTCACAAATCACACTTCACAAATCAAAACAGAACAATTACAGGCAGAGAGGCTCAAAACCTTCCTACCATCACTGACAGGGAAGGGAAGCTGACTGCCATTTTAAGTGCAGCCTGGTCCAGCCTAGCAGAGAGGATGCTTTCCATGCTCTACCTGCTCCATGGACCTCTTTGGCCCTGCGTTTTGATTCACAGCATTTTATTAATGTGGCTGCAGCCCAGGTCAGCCCTGACTGAAATTCATGAGGCTTTTGGTTATCCTCCAACTTTGCCTTTCAACTTAAGGGCAAAGGCATCCTTGGAACAGTCCAGTGAACCTGATTCCTCCACACACCTCTTCCAGAGTCCTCTCTGTGAGAGGCCTGAATGGGAGAGAGGAGATTCCAGAGGGCAGTGGAGGCATGTGGCCAACACAATCCACAACGTAACTTTGAAAAAAATAAAAGCTGTCCACAGGAGAAAGAATTTAACAGGAAACATTAAAGAGCACCAAGAAACTAGTTCAGAAGGTAGAGGCCTGACACCCAACCTCTGCTCCCTGCCTTCCCCACAGGATAAACACAGATTAGAGAGGCAAAGTATGATCTCATCAGGTGCAGGTGTTTTTCCTTTTCTTCCCTAGCACAGAAGACACAAAGCATTTTGACTGCCCCTTTGACACCCAGGAATGACTCTGCTTTTGTATGCATGAGACAGATACACACCTCCACTGAGGCACGCACTTGGCAAAAAAAAATTGTTTACTCCCAAGCACAGACAAGTCTGGAATTAATTTAACTTCCGTGAGAATGGTTTACACTAGGGAAGCCAGGTTGTACAGCATAATGAAATGGCTAGAAGCAAATTAAACAGTAACAGTTCACTCCCCACATGCCCATATCTATAGCACAAATTTCCTGCATATAAAACTCCGTGATTTGTGTGTCCTCTCTGCAAACAACAAGTCATGCAGCTTTAAAGGCAAGACCAGGTTACACCAAAAAGCCACCTTCTTCCAAAAAGGACAGCTCCCCTTACTCATCCTTGAGTTTGATTGGGATAAGACTTCATTTCTCTACTGCTTGTCACTCAGCTTACCACCAAGCGTTTTACCAAAATTGCTATTTGCCTGTACAGACTCTGCAAGAACTACTGCAACCATTACCAAAACAAATAGCAGTGGGGCAGTAAAACACGACATTACTTTTCTGCAACGTTTTTACAGTATTTTGATATTCAGACACTTACCACATGCAGAAACATTATCTCGACCTTCTGCCAAGCTCAGGAGAATTATCCTGAGACTTTCCTTAAAGCCTGGTACTAAGGAAGGAGAAAGCCAGAGCACTGTTACTGTATCTTACCTGTCCTGGGGTCAAAGAGCTGGTTGGCCTCCAGGTCTGTGAAAGTGCTGAAGCAAATGGGGCATTTAAAAGAGGCGCGATTGGTGGAGTCCCTTTCGTCCGTCTCAATCCTCCTCCTCATGTGGTCCAGCTTGTACTTCACCACGTTAACCAGCAGGCGGTAGTTGATGAAGTAATAGTTGTGACGGGTGGTTTTGCCATCCGGAGCTGTCTCGACCCTCATCCTGCATTTGATGAACTTGTCACCCTTGAGGGTGTTGAGGACAGCCCGCAACTGCTTCCTGTCAAATTTCAGGAGCTCTAACATGTCCTCTTCCTTCACACAGGGGTTTCGGATGAGGATGTCCAGAGCCAAAGCATGTTCAATGCCATAAAACCCACGCACAACATACTTGGCAAGGCGTTTGAGAGCTGCAGGGACCTCAGTGAGGACGTCTGGGTCAGTCATAGCAGGTTCAGAGCTTGAGCTTCATGTATACTGCAATGAGAAAAGGCAGATGGATTCGTAACTACTCTTCTGACTTCAGCAGTTTGCATGCATCTTTCTCACAGCTAAGAAAAGGATGGGATGTTCTCCGTTTCCATTTCCCCAACCCTGATCTTTCCCCTTGGACGTTAATATCTATTCTACAGGGGTAGAATTTGGAAATGGCACTTCTAATTTATAACAGGATGGTGGAAAACAAAAGCACACAAATTGCTACCACAACATTCAGCAGATTGCAGTTCTACCCAAAGCTGGAATAAGAAAACTGTCTTGAAGCTGAGCTCCAGTAGAGAGCTTCATGATCAGCTGAGACTTGTGTCCTGGTGGAAAGACTACAGCAAAAAAGGACCTCAGATGGCCCAAGAAAGTGGGATAGTTCTATGGCCCTACTGCATGTCCCTTCATTCCATTATAAATATCCCTGCCTGCTTCTGTTCCTCAGACATCACTGGATAGCAACACTATGTGAGGACAGCTTGCTAGTACAGACAGGTACACATTCAAACAAAAGCTCCCATCAGAACAGACAGGCTTTTTCCTTACGTTCTGATAAATACGTCTCAGTCAGCAGTCTGCAGCATGAAAACTATTAGCACTATCAATCACTACCTAACAGACCACTTGAGCCTTGATCACAGGTGGGCACACATGTCCTTCCACAGGACTGATCCTATATTTGAAGTCCCATATTCAGCCCTTAGAAGCCCATGTGTAATGCAACAGGATAAGCAAAGCAAAATTCAAGACATACTGAACATGGCAAGATTTTCTGTTTAAGAGATAAATACTTCATAAACTTACTGTGCTGTGACAAGGCAGATTTCTAAATACTGTATTTTCACTTCGTTTTTCTTTACCTCAACGTGAAGTGGCACAACTAGTCATATCGACTGCATGACTCTGTGCCATACAAAGATCAATACATAGGATCAGATCACACAAGGAATTCCTCATACTGTCACCTCTGCCACGGGCATAACCCAGAACTGAGATTGGATTGAGGGCAGCTCTGCTAGGGACCTCAGCTGTTGGTTGATGAGAAGCTCCGCATGAGCCAGCAACATGCACTTGCAGCCCAGAAAGCCAGGCTTATGCTCAGCTGCACGAAAAGCAGGATGGCCAGCAGGGCGAGGGAAGTGACGTTCCCCTTTTTATTCTGCTCTCGTGAGACCCCACCTGTGTTCAGCTCTGGGGCCCCAAGCACACGAAGGATACAGAGATGTAGGAGCAAGTCCAGAGGAGAGCCACAAGGGTGATCAAAGGGCTGGAGCACCTCTCCTATGAAGACAGGCTGAGAGAGTTGGGGTTGTTCAGCCTGGAGAAGGCTCCAGGGAGACCTTGCAATGGCCTTCCAGTACCTAAAGCGGGCTACAGGAAAGCTGGGGAGGGACTCTGTCACGACATGTAGTGATAGAACAAGGAGAAATTGCTTTAAACTGAAAGAGGGTATATTTAGATCAGATATTAGAAAGAAATCCTTTACTCTGAGGATGGTGAGGTCCTGGCACAGGCTACCCAGAGAAGCTGTGGATGCCCCATCCCTGGAGGTGCTCAAGGCCAGGCTGGATGGGGCTTTGGGCAGCCTGGGCTGGTGGGAGGTGTTCCTGCCCATGGCAGCGGGGTGGAACTGGGTGGGCTTCAAGGTCCCCTCCAACCCAAACCATTCTAGCATTTACAATTCTACATTCACCCAGCAGCTGCTGACGCACTTCCATCAGCTCAGTCTATTCACAAATTTGCTATCGCTTATAGAAATGCTTCCCCCTCAAAACCTTTAAGCAACCTTACCCACTGAAGCTTCACTTCTCTTCAGCCCCCACCCTCCTCTGCACTGAGGTAGGTTCCTCTCAAGGGTTATGGCCAGAGCAACTACAAAGCAATCAGGCTTTGCATTGTGGAGCGTGCTACTGAATAAATTAAGGCTGCACTGCTTTCTTTTTTCTGCCTTTTGAATCCAAAAAAACATGTTTATTATTTTCTTTTAAGATACTTTCCCACCTCAGCTTTTCTCTTTCTCTGTCTTAAGGCCAAGCGTTACTCACAGTGCTCAAATTGAAATGAACTTCACCAAATCTGCTGTTTGATGGCAGCCTGAGAAGAGCTTACAGAAGACAATGCTTGGATGTCCAGCTCCAACTTCCTTCCCCTCAAGGAAATTCAATTATGTTTATCCCAGCGTGAATTAGCAACGATGCACGCAGTTCTTGAGTCTGCCTTCTCTGCATGCATTACGGTTTAATTCGCACAAAGGCCATTTTTAACGGAGCTCTGCATTAAGCTAGGTAAAGATAAAAGTGTCAGCAATCAAGGATGCCCCAGGATGAGTTAGCCATGCAGTACTGAAAACAGTCAGTTTTTTTGTTTTTTAAAGAAGCCAGAGTCAATCTGAATACAGTCACAGGACAGTCTGCCTGCAAATCCGTTTCATTATGTTGGTATTTTCACAATTTTACAATCAATTAGAGCTAAACCTTGGTTTTGATTGAAACTGCCAGCAATGTACAGAGACTACACAACTATGTCCATGCAGAGTCTAGCCAGAAGCCTTTATTTATTTAAACTGATTAATTCTACTTATTCAAAGTTTAGGCAGAGAATGACATTAATAAAAAGATCAACTTTAAGTCATGCTTGGCACCCTACAAGTGAATTAAAAAGACAAATTTTGGAAGTTAAAAGGTTTCTAAGTGTTGATCCTCAAAACAAGCAAAAATCTCCCTCCTGATCAATTCATTTCCCACTAAGAAGTCCTTGCAGAAAAGCTTGGGAATGAAGCTTTTAGTGGGCAGAGTGACCTTCAGAACATCAATTGTTACTAAAAGGGGAAAAAAAAGCAGAAAGTGGTTTCTGTGATTCTAAGCAAGCACATCTCACTCTGGATGCATCGCCTGAGAGTTGATGGGAAGCTTTTTCTCTGCAAAAATCTCACTGATAAGACAGCTGCAGATTTCCACAGCCACTTTCCAACAGGTTTAAGGTACAATTTCCTGAATAATGCACTCAAATGTTACATTTAGACCTAAAAGACACTAATAAACAAATAATGCAAGGCACTAATAAACAAAACCTCCTGTACGATTATGTACTTTTAACTACTACTGAAAACCAAGGGAAAAATGCGATACAATTTCTTAGTGCCAAATGCTAGATTTCTTTCCCCTCCATCTAGCGGGGCTAGGAGATTTCATGCTATTTCATCTTCTTTACTAGAAATTTCTAGTCACATCCAACTCCTCTTTATCCTCAGGTAATAGCTGTTGTCTCGAGTGTAACACTGTTTTGTTTTTTTCCAGGCACGGATATATGGAAATACAAGCATTCTGTGAACACCACAAACCATTCTTCCCCATCAAACTCCACTTCAAGGAGTTGGTTAACATGGATTAAATTCTAAATCCTGCAAAAGAAAGTCTTTGGGTGAAAAAACTGACTAACGTCAGCTTTAAGGAAAATAAAGAAAATAAGACGTCAAAGAACACCCTGGCCAAGCTTTGCTACGTGAAAGTCAACAGTGCTGAACATCACCACCTTAGCTGTAAGCATCAGTATGGATACACAGTCAACAAGTTTTTATATGACTCTGAGCCCTTGCCTTTGGTCACTCAGGCATTGGACTTCAAACAAGATGTGTATCATAGGATGAAGGCTGGATTTTACAATAGCATTCTTAATTACATTCTTACCTAAGTGATATGATACAGGGCAGTGGTAGGAAAGTGTGTTACCATCACCAGGACCTAGCAGTGTTCCTCTAGAAATTGTATCACCTCACCATGAAAAATCCCAGGCCACAGCACATGAACTCCAAATCCTCACTACCCTTCACCAGCCAAGATCCAGCTCACAAATGTTAATTCAATGTCGCAGGAGTGTAATTTTAAGATTCAAAAGCAAAGGACATTCCCTGCATTCTTAAGCAGTGATTTCACCTCCCGTCAAAGCAGTAAGTCAAACCTGAATTAATTACATGTGCAAAGAAATACGATAACATCTAACAAGGTTTTAATGGACGTGCATCCATTTCGTAATGAAGTCTGTGCTGTCCTTAACAGCATACAAACATTAGTGGGGGAAAAAAGAAACCCAGTGGCACCACCAACAAAGCCCACTGGACAATACGACATTCAGAAACATGGTTTCAAAACATACAGACTTCACCAAGAAACTATTTGGGAACTGTTCTGTGCAACTGCATGAATACAATTCAGTATTATGGGTACACAAAGAAGGTAGATCTATGCTGTCATAACAGGAGTTTTGTGAATTCTACCGGGAATTATGCTAAGGATGTTACATCTGTTTTTCTTCCTGACAAAAGCTGAGACAAAAGAGGACAACTACTATAAAGATGATTCCTAGAAGCCACAAAACTGAAGAAACTAGAAGTACAAATTATGAAAATGCAACTCAGCCAAAGAATTAACCTGAATTTATATTTAATGCTGCAAGTGATCATTGCCTTGTTTTATCATCTAACTTTGAGGCTTGACTCCACTGGTAGCTTCACCACACACACACACACACAAAAATCATTAAGTTTCACTGTTTATAAATCTGATAACATAAATATTTTAAAACTGGGATCTTCCTCAGACTCCTTGGGGGTATGCAACCCCTTAAAAACACCCCAGATTTCTTTTGGAGGAAAACTCAAAAGTTGCAGGTTTAGCTAGGAGGCTCTATCAGACATGGCATTCACACTTGGGAAGGGAAACTTGCTTCCTATCAGTGTGCACCCCCCAAATATAATTTAAATTATGCTATTTTTCACTAACAATTTCAGGACCAACTTTTGCTGATTTGCTAGGAGAAAAAAAAAAAAAAACTGCAGGCAATAACTTACATCACAAGAGATATTTAAAAAAATAAAAAAGAAAAAGAAAAAACACCTTTGTTTTGTCCGAAATATGAATTCTAGAGAACTTACCAGCCTACTATTCATGAATTCAAGCAAATCATTTGCCATAAACTGTCCCTATTAACTTCCTATCTTTCTTGTATTCATGTCTGAGCTTTACAAACTCTGCTGACAAGGACAGAATCCTTTGCCTTTGCACGTGGTTACGTATGACAGGCTTTTGGGAGCCCCTATATACCAGGTCCCACTGCAACAGTCTCCTGCAAACTCCAAGTCTAGTTTTGTAATCTCCAACTCTAATGAAATTAAGAACTGCTTTTCAGAAGATGATGGGTTTGAACTGACAGGAGCAATTCTGAATCTTCCTGAGCACAGAGAAGGAAAGCACAGATTTCAGAACTATGATGGGAAAAGATGCCATCAAGGTTTTAAATTTGTGTGCCACGTAACCTCAGCTGCTGTCTCAAGTCGCACCAGGGAAGGTTTGGGTTGGATATTAGGAAGAACTGAATCAGGGAGAAGGTGATCAGACATTGGAACAGGCTGCCCAAGGAACAGGTAGAGACTCAGTCTGTGGAGGCATTTGAGAGATGTGTGGATGTGGCACTAAGGGAGATGGCTCAGAGATGGGGCTCGGTAGGTCAGACTGATGGTTGGAGACTTGATGACCTCGCAGGTCTTTTCCAGCCGAGGTGATTCTGTGATCACAGCAAATGGCATCAATCATGATCTGCACAACGTGTCCCTGTTATCAGGAACTGCCTTTATAACACAACTTTCAAACCTAAAGTCTTTTGATGTTCCACCAAAAGCTCACCATTTCCTGCAAACTGCAGGATCACTGCCCTATCTTGATGTGAAGTAATTACTTTTGTTTGCAAAACCTACCTGCCCTCAAGTATTAGAGAAGAAAGTAACCCACAACAGTCTGCTTTCACTAAAATCCTACCTTCTTTTTGGCATTGCATAAACTGAAAACGAGTGGCCACATGTATTACAGGGCTTACTACTTTTAATTAAAAACTGTGCTGCTGCACAGAGAAAGGCCGAAAGGCCTGACTGAAATCAGGTCATTCTCACCCAAACTTCTCACTCAAAATATACAGAGCTTCACATAAGGCAACATGGTCAGACTATGAATGCAGAAAATCAAGAACTACATCTTGAGTCTGCCTTCTTCATCACATTCATCATCTAAACCTCCTAGAAGAAAAGCGAAGTATCACTAAATTAAAGGAACACCTACATGCGCATATTTATATACAAACAAATGTATTCAGGAGTACTTCAAATGAATGTTACCACTAAAAAACTGTTTACAGTTGCAGCTGCAGACAAAACAGAGCGCACTATTCACTGAAGGTGACACTTGGCTAGAATACTGAAGGTTTAGTTTTCTGTCACAGCTTAGGTCAAATTATTCTCTCTTACACAGAACTAAGTCTTCCTTTGCTGCCTTCAGCTACAACCCAGCCCTCATTCTGTGCTGACTGTTAGCTCTTCACTTAGTGAAGTGAATAATTCTCATAAAAAGTGAAGACCTAGGGTATTTCAGAGGGAGGGCATTGTGGAAAAGTTCCCAAATTAAATCATTTATGCTTCCAGACTAGAGCATGTACAAAGCAGACAGAAGGAAGCATGGCCAAGGATATGGCAGAGTGAGCCTTCCCCAGGTGGTGGCAAAAAGAGATGAAACTGACTGGGTTACAATGTGCAGCCACCGCAACGTTTTAACCATGGACATCACACTCAAGATTTACACTGTTACTTGAACGTGTACCAGCAGAAGTACATCTGTTATTTTTGAGACTTCTCAGAATTGATCCTCATCATCAAGTGGTAAGGCTTTCATTTTCTTAAAATGAAATAAAAAAAAAAAGCTTTTCACAAAAATATCAAATCTAAGTTGTGATTACACTAGAGTTCAGTGGGCTTAACCTAGCTTCAGACTGGATGGAAGCAGGAATCCTCCTTTGTACCCTGGATTCGAGAGACCTTGAACACCATGCTTCTCAGCAAGAGATGCTGCTGCTTATTGTCTGAGTTCCAGGAATTCAGAAAAGTATTAGTAAAGGTATACATGAAGGTATTAGCCTCAGAAGACTTTTAGTTTCTCAAGGTATATCAAACAGGTGCATATTCTGTGGACGTAAGCAATAAAGAAGCAGAAACTAAATAATTACAAGATACTAGATTAACTTTAATTCCTATAGCCTCTTGTTTGGAAGAATTTCCTAAAGCATCCTGTATGAACGTGACACTTAAGTAGCACCTTAAAGGGAGGGGCAGATAGGAATGAAACTCCCATCATCCCTTAATCCTGTCAGACAGATACTTGCTCCTGTCCCAAGCACATGGCTCTGTCTTCTCTCACGCCAGCTCTGGCATTGCAGCACCTTTCTGTGCACCAATTAACGCACTAAAAGCAGGAAAATATCCTTCTTTTTCTTTTGCTAGGTTTGCTTTTCAACAGTGTAATTGACTGAATCTGCTAGTAGAAGAGTCTGACAAGCAACAGAGCCAGAAGAACTGAGGGGATGCCAGGGCAGGGAAGAGATGAGAGAAAAAGCTCCCTTTCATGGCTGAAAGATATTAAATCATCTGTATTTGGTTAAGCTGTACATTAACTGTACGCTGTTGAAGACCTTTTTCGTGATGTTGATCTTTCTTATTTATTCTGAGCTATTTGTGATGATACAAGTTTAGCAGATGAGGGAAATTTAACAGCTCACTGCCACTATGAGATGTGATGCTCCCCTGCTCCTCTGGGAAGCATCAAACTCGTGAGGCCAGAAGAAAATAGACGGGTAAAGCATCTTGTTGACCTAGTGAACTGAAGTCTCAGTCAATGGCTAAACCTGGCAGAAGAGAACAGGGTTAGAAACGGGCCTCTTGGCAGCAGCAGGCTGTGACTCTCCAGAGCTGTGGCAGCTCCGGTTGCTCCTCAGCCTCCAGAAATGCCACAAATCCCAAATTACACAGACACAGCCCCCGAGCTCAGCAGAAACCCCCTTGCGCTGCGCCCTACCCTCCGCCCTGCCACACGCGGGGCTTTAAACACCTCATTCCAGAGATGAACGAGGGGCTCAGCAGAGAGAAAATGAGAAAAATGAAGAGGGGAAAAAAAAAAAAAAAAAAGAAAAAACACGTAAAAAAAAAAAAAACACCACAGAGACCGCAAGAAGCGAGGCGGGCGCCGGCCGGGAGCCTGAGGCGAAGCAGGGGCCGGGGCCAGGCGCTCGGCCGGCTGAAGGGGGGCGACCCCTGAGCCTCGGGGGAGGGCTCTGCCGACGGCGGGGCCCCCGGAGGACGGGTCGGGGCCGCGGCGAGGCCCGCCCGGGGCCGGCACTGACCTCCTGCGGCTGCCAGCTCTCCCTCCTCGCCGGGCGGCGCCTCCGCCGGCCGCGTCAGAGCCCTGCGCCCCCGGCGCGCTAAGATGGCGCCCGGCCCCTCCACAACATGGCGCCCGGCGCGGGAGGGACGAGCCAATGGGAAGCGAGGAGCGCGGCGGCTCCTCCGGCAGCCAGCCAATGGGCTGAGAGAGAGCGAGCGGGAGCCCGCAGCGATTGGCAGGCGGGCGGGAGGGGGCGGGGCGCGGCGGCGCGGTTGCTAGGCAGACTAAGATGGCCGCGCTGGACAGGGTCAAGGTGCTGGTGCTGGGCGACTCCGGTGAGTGCGCCCACCCCCGCGGCGCCCCCCCCCTCGGCCACCGCGGCGCATGCGCAGTGAGCCGCTGCGCCCCCCCCTTCTCCCCTCACGGGGACCGTTACGGCCGTTAGAGCCGTTACCGGCGGCCGTTGGGCGCCGGTGCCTGACGGGGCCCGTTTTTTGTTTTTGTTTTATTATTATTATTTTTGCTGTTTCAGGTGTGGGGAAGTCGTCGCTCGTGCACCTGCTGTGCCACAACCAGGTGCTGGGAAACCCGTCGTGGACGGTGGGCTGCTCGGTGGATGTCCGAGTAGGTGCTGGGCTGGGCCCCTCACTGTGTAAAAGTTTAAAGGGTGAAGGAGGAGAAGGGCCGTGTTATCTTACCAGCGTTATCTTGTTTTACCTGGAGGGTACAGAGTGTGAGCTCTTGTGCTCCCTCCCCACACCTTGCAGGGGAATGAGGTTCTTCATCAACTTCATCTTGTCCCTGTGCACAGTCCTTGTGGCACAGCAATAAACACTTCCATCCTTTATCATTTGCTGCACGCTCCTTGGGATGCTGTGCCATGGGTTAGGAGCTGTCCTCTGTTATTGTCTGTGTTTCACCTCAAAGAATTGCAAAACATGTTTCCAAAATCTAGAGGAAGAAACATGGCAATCCATTTGGCTGTGAAGCAAACCAATTTTTTTTTTTCTTGGTAAATTCTGCTGAGATGGCAGTGAGAATGTGGGGAGGGAATTGATGCAGTCAGTCAGAATCCAGTGTGTCCATACGCTTAGTCCTGCAGTACTGCCACGCAGGTTTTAACAAGCACAAGAAGTCATGCCCTTGTCTTTACATCTGCTTTAGCAACAGGCTTTTTCTAAGTACACCATGCAGTGTAAGGGCTGTTAATATTTGGGTGGAAAGAATGTTCCCTGCTGACTCACCCAACTCCATCTCATGGCAGAAGGAACTATGACAGCCATTGGCCACCACTTGACTCAATCCATCCAGTCCCTTCCCACTTGAAAGATTTGAAATTCCGTCCATACTAAAACTTGCAAATTTCTATCCATGCACCCCTTCCTTTGAGATACCAAGTTAAAGGTCTGGTGGTTCATCTGTATCACTACAGTAGCGAATAAGAGATTACAATTATAATGCAGTATTTCACCTGAACGTGAAAATGTTGTATGGATTAACTTCTACAAGCTGATGCTGTGGCTATGTATGATGTGAATTTTCCACTAGATCCATGACTACAAAGAAGGGACTCCGGAAGAGAAGACATACTATATTGAGCTGTGGGATGTTGGAGGTTCAGTGGGTAGTGCCACTAGTGTCAAAAGCACGCGAGCAGTGTTTTATAACTCACTGAATGGTAAGTTTGCTTGGTGTAAATCTTTTTTCTGTGTCATTTTCTGTTAAGAGCTCTCTCTTGGTTCCAGAGCAGGAGTCCTCTTAGTCTGGCTGAGGGCTATCCTGTTCTTCTTTCTGATTTATACAAGAAAGAAACTGATGTCATTCTTAGACAGAATTTATGGATTCAGTTTTAAACTGCAAAGCTATTTTAGGCAAGCCTGTACAAATGAGCTTCGTCAACCTTTCCCTTCAGTCTTGTGCAGCTGGTGCAACGGGGAGTCTTTGAAGTCGGGGTGGCGTCCTTTCCAGTCATGCTTGCAGACATAAAAGGCTGCCTTCACCTTTCCAGGTCTGATAGAAATGCAGAAATATCACCAATATTTTCTTGCCTGTTCAGTTCCAAAACCTATAGCTGAGAAACATTATTTGAATTTATGGCATGGTATGAACTTGAATTTATGGTAGGAACTTTGATAGCTGTATCCTGACAAATTTGAACTGTTCTCCCATAAGATTGCAATATTCCGATGGCCATCCTGCCTTCTGCTCATCCAATTTGCCAAGTTATTTTTTAATACTTGAATCTTGCAACTTGCTGATGATGGAAAGTAATATTTTATTCCATTGAAGGATGGCATCCCTTCCTTTGAGGTACTGAATTAAAGGGCTGGTGGTTCATCTGTACCACTAAAGTAGTGAATAAGAGATCATAAACATAATAGTGCCGTATTTCAGTTGTTATTTTTGGCACCCACAGGTAGTTCACCAAAAATAGATGTATGCAAGATGAACATCTGCTTCTGAAAATCTGTCTCAAATACTGTGATTCTTTATTCCTCATCATTTGAGGACCTTCAATAAAGGGTTAAGCCATACAATAAGCATTTTTGCTCTGTGCTTGTTTAAGTAGCTATTTCTTCCTCTTTCCCAAGAGGAAAACTGTGTGTAGGTATCTCTTATGTTGTTAACCAGACCTCTCTAAATAAGATTTGAGTTGAGTTGTGCTCCCAAAGTAAGCCTTGTTGGTACGTGAAAAAGATGGATTTCTTTTTGACACCAAATTCACAGTGTGCCAGCCTGTGCGGGTCAGACTTGGAAATATCCTAGAACAGCACATTAGGAGATGAAATTTCAAAGTTATGTATCTGAGCTGTAATTGATGAAGTTATTAAAATAGAGTTATTTATCTCCACTGCCCAAAAGATAGTATTAGCCAGCTCGCATATGAAAACCATTGGCTTCGGTAGTTAGCCTTGGCTCTGGTTTCTTTCATTAGATAAATTCTTTCATTAGAGCTTGTCTCACAAATTGCCAGTTTGACCTGATGTAAGGAGAGAAGATGAATGCATTCCCTCTGCCTGACTGCACGTCCTTTCTAGGCTTGCGGTGATCTGAAAAACCTGACATCAAAGGATTGTTCATGTTGGTCGTGGCAATGCCTGTGCAGACTGTCAGGGAGACTTGGTTGTTCGGAGGACAGATAGAGTTTGCTCTTCATTTGGTCACAGATCTTTAGCTTCAGTGTCCCTGCGTCTGCTGCGTGGATTGTGATAGTCTAGGACAATGGAAATGCAGCAAGGCTGTGGCTCGCAGACCTTTATGTGGGAGGAACGTATCCTTGAGTGGTCATTGGTCCTGTCCACTCTTTTTTGATGTTGGCAGTCTTTTCTGCTGGTGCAACTGTGTAAGTTTTCAATGAAACAGATAAGGGAACTGCCCTATCACAAACACAGCTGGGGTAGACTGTCAGGAGGTGGGGCGTGTTTCTCACAGATCATGCAGCAATGCCTCTTAGTCTGTTGCCATTGGCCAGGTTACGTTGTGTCATGCTTTTTCTCCCTGTGCTGGGGATGGGCAGGTGGTTTAGCTGCCTTTTTATGCTCTTACTGAGATAAATGCTTCAAAGTAGGGATATGGTTGTGCTGTGCCGGGAACTCTCCGAGCAGTGAGTCTCCGCACAGCAATGTGGGGTGGAAATGTAGTTTGGTTTTAGTGTGTACAGTGGGTGGTATCTTTGGGTGTTGAGATTAAATGAAAGAATTAAAATTCAATTAAAAATAATAAAAGAAACATTAAATTAACATATTTTCTACATCTGTGGGGTGTGAAGTGTGTTGAGAACAAACCCCGATGAAGATAAAAGGTATAATGCCATTTTGTCCTTGAATTAATGATGGTTTAAAGTCTGGAGGAAGTGGGAACATTCCACAGGTTGCAGAAGGTGCGAATAAATAGAAGATATTTGCTAGCAGGAGCTGGTAATTGAGTTAGGAACTGCGGTTATCAGAAGTGGGTGTCTGTTAATAGTACAGCTAGGAGATTTGTCTGGCAGTTTTCCTGTTGCAGAATTTACATTTGAAGGATCATAGTAATGAAAAATGGTAGCTATAATGCATAGCATCATCTTAATTCATGCATAACTCCTAGCCGTTTGGTGGGCTGGGAAAGTTTGTCTTTTTCCCCTTTGGGTACCTCCCCAGGTACTTGGCATCAGTTTTTGAAAATGCGGGAAAGCACCAGTGCTCTGTAAACCCCTCAAAAAGAAAAAAAAAAAAAAAAAAAAAAAAGAAACAGCTTTTAGACTTCTTAGATGGTGTGACAAAGAAAAAAAAGTTATGTTTACTAATTACGCAAAACAGAGAAAGGCTGAATTCTCTGCTGCACTGATAGAGTTTGGGTATCCTTAGGACTCCGATGAAGCAGAATCAGGGAATGCCTGCAAACCTCTTATGGGTTAAACCTGAGATGGCTGTTCTTTTTCTCCTTTCATGAGGTTTTTCTCTTAGCTCTTATCCAACTCATGATAAGCAGCTTTAAAAAAACAGTTGCATCCTGATATTGTCAGCTTTACTCATTTACTTTACCGATTATACTTCCCTTTCTTGATTCTCAGATATCTGGGAACCTGCAGATGTCATTTTCCGAAGATAAGAAAAAAAAATATGTATCATTAAATAACATCTTGCTACCTACTCTTTCACTTCAGGGATAATTTTAGTGCATGACTTAACCAACAAGAAATCATCCCAGAATTTGTATCGCTGGTCTTTGGAAGCACTCAACAGAGACGTTGCTCCAACAGGAGTTCTTGTGACAAATGGGTGAGTGGAAAACATACGTGCACAATTAAGACACAGTAATTCCAGACTATTATGGAAGCCTTTGTTCATCCCTAAAGCTACTTGAAAACTACACAATGTTAGGTGTGGCTGAACTTTTAATAAAGAAATTTTAAAAAATGGGGTAGTATCAAAAAAAATAGCTGTTCTTTTCATTTCACACTGCTGATCAGGCCATTCTGGTGGTAGCTTCCCAAACATTAGATCTTGCTTTAAAGAAAAAGATGTTTACTGTGTCTTTCTCTTTTCTTTGCTCTGCATAAAGAGCACTTTAACAATTAGCTTTCCAACATCTCGTCAAGTATGCCCTCTTGTTATCTCTGTGCTCCTGTTACACACATAATCAAGGAGATTTTCAGATCATTGATAAACCACATGC